TTTATTAAAAAAAACTCGATCTATTTTTATTACTCAGTGAATTATAATATTTTATTGGAATTAAACCAAATTTCAAATGTGAATATAAAGTTAAGACGAGTATCAAGGTTTCAATTTACTACTTTAATTCTATTTGAATATTAATAAACAAGTATTTAAATTTATTTTAAAAAATTGTTCAAATATAACTTTTTATATTAGTTTTTATAATAATATAAAAATTATTGATTATTGGTTCAAACCAAAATCCTTATTGAGAGCTTAGAACCACACCAATAGTGTGCAACTTTTTTCTTTGTTTTTTATTTAAAACAAAGGTATAAACTTTTTTAAAAGACAACAAATAAAATAACAAAAAGTTGAAATGTATCATAAATCAACATAAAATATTTAAATGATAAGTTCAACTGCTTGTTTTAATCAAAAACATCAAAAATCCAGAATCTTAATTGTAATACAAAACTTAAAAACAGTATTGATTATTGATTGTGGATGGCATAGATGTTTAACATTACGTTTATAAAAACGAAAATAACAAGACAAGCCAACTTGTTTGATTTAAAGACCTTCTCATTGCGAGATTGTGGTAAACAAAAGACCATTGAACTGTGCAACAAAAAACAACATGAAAAAGTTGTTCTATTTTAGTTATAGTTTAGTTATGGTATTTTAATTAGAGTAATAGTTTTAAAGAAATTTGTTTGTGTTTTCGTGTTTTGTTTAATAAAACATTTGATTGTTTAATTATAATTATACAATAAACAAAGTTGCACTGATTCGTCAAAGTTGCACGGTTTAATGAATGACTTTATTGTAATAATTAAAATAATAATATGTAATATATAACAAATAATATTTGTAATGTAATATATAACAAAACTCGGTGTTTATTTTAAAAAAATAAATTATAAATATTAAACTGAAAAAATATAGTAATGCAGAACACACAACAAAAAATAAATGTGTTATTTATTGGCGATTTAGGTGTTGGTAAGGTTTATTGAAAAAAAATGGAACGAAAATAACAAATAGACTTTAATGATTTATTTAATAACCGAAAATGTATATGTCGACGGTCTGACCATCACAATTCATGGAGATTTTCAAAGCAAAGTTTGTTACAATTAATAGTTAAAAATATTTATAATAAGAAACTTATTATTGACAGAAAATTTGTGGAAATTAGATTTCTTGAACAATGTTTGTTTTTTTATGTTTTTTTGTTATAATAATAATTAATTTAACTATATTTATTTAAACGTGTTTACAATATTAATAAAATTAGTTTCTTTATAGTTAATAATAATAATAATAGAATCATATTTGTTGTAACGAATTAAATCAAAAATCTGATTATATTATTATCACATACAACTTTTTATTGTTAAATTAATTGATGTTTTAATTATATTTAATAATTCTTATATATTTTTAATAAAATTACTAATATAATAAGTTAAATATATATAGTTAAATAACTAAATGGTGGTGCAGATAGATTTCGATATTTAAGTCCCTCGTTAGTTAAATTTGCAAATTGTGTTGTATTTTGTTGTTCACGAGACAGTGTTGCTTCTGCAATAAATCTTGAAAATTGGAAATCAATATTTGATGCAAACAAAAAAGACACCAAAATAACTAAAATTTTCGTTTTAATAACAAAAAGTGAATTAAAGAAAAATTTAGATGTTGGCGTTGAAGTCCATAAATTTTCAGAAAAATATCATTACAAAGTGTTCGAGTGTTCATCAAATAGAAATAAAGGACTGACCAATACGATTGCCACAGTTGCTACTGAATATATTGAAAATGACTTTATTAATAAAGAAACAGAAATTCAAGATAAAATAATAGAAAAACCTATATGTCAGTTGATATAAGAATTTATTGTTTTAAATTTTTTTAATTATACACAATAAAATTATTTATTTATTTTTTTGCATGACTTCAATTTATAATTAATTGTTATCAGAATGGAAATATTTTAAATCAATTTAATACATCAAATAATAGTTTATTTAAGTTAACAGTCAATATTTTTAAAACACTTGAACAAATACATAAAAATTGTTAAATAAAATTGAAAAAAATTCAAGTGGTTTAAAATCGGGTAATCTCCAATTTATTAAATATATTTCTTATTATTCGAGGTTAACAATGTACATAAACAATACACAAACCAAATAATAAATATCAAATAATTAATGTGTGTCTAGTAAAATAAATCAAATTAAATACAAAATCCTTTTTAAGTGTTAAAATAAATTATTAAACTAGTAACACTAAACATTATTTATTTTAAAATTTTTAAAATTGTTTGTTATTATTTAATAAATCAATTGTATTGTAATTATTTTTAATTATTAATAGCTTGCAAAAATAAACGAATTTTACAAAAGTTAATTATTATTTGCTTGGTTAAATGTTAAAATAAAAATATATTGAATGTATATGTTATGTTCATTTAAAAATCAAAAAATGTAGTTAAAAATATAAGATTATACTATTAATTAATTTAAATTTTTAATAATTTATGATTGTTTTATATTTATTTTTGTGTAACTTGTTGTATGAATAAATCATTAGGATAAATAAAAAGAAGTTTCAACTTGATATATAAAACATGTCAAAACTGAGCAGTTATCATATGATGATCGTTTCAACTTACTTTAAAACAATTGATGACTTTATAGTTTTAAAATTGGTCTGTAAAAAGTTCACTGGTAATATAGAGAAGTTACATTTTAACCCAATTCCATTAACAAAAAAAACAATAAAATATTTTTTTTAACATCGAGACTCTTCACTTGTGGGATAGATGTGATGAGAATTTTGGCAATAAAATTAGTGATTGCCATCAATATCGGTTTAATAATTGTTACAATTACAAACTCGACTTTCAAAATACAAAAATAGAGAATCAAACACAAACAGTGTTTTATCAAATAATAGTCTTGTTTAATGTAGATGCTGTAACTGTCGAAACAAGTGATTTTAACTTTCAATTTAAAAATGTTACTTATACAAAATCTGATAATAAAAATTTCGAAAATGAAATACCAATATGTGTTAAGTTCATTGATAATAATTGTTTTGAAAACTGTGATAATTTGCGAAGTGTAGATATTCCTTCGAGTGTAATATATATTGGTGACCATTGTTTTGAGAGATGCAGTCGTCTGAGTAAATTAACACTACCAACTTGTGTTACTTTTATAGGTAACAATTGTTTCAATTAATGTCAACACTTAAGAAGTGTGAAATTGCCTTCAAATATTACTTCGATTAATACACAATGTTTTGAGTATTGTATGATGTTGTCTAAAATTGATATTCCATCAAATGTTCGATTAATTGGTGATAATTGTTTTCATAGTTGTTGCAATCTAAAAAGTGTGACAGTACCATCGAGTGTCACATATATCGGAGCTCAATGTTTCAGAGAATGTGATAATATGATCAATGTATATATCCAAACCGGTGTTTCATCTATTTCTTATCAGTGTTTTGGTGGATGTAGTAATCTGACTAATGTAGATATACCACCAAGTGTCATTTCCATTGGTGATAAATGTTTTTATAAATGTGTAAGTTTAAGCAATATTGAAATACCAGCAAGCGTCACCTCTTTTGGTGAGAGTTGTTTCTTTAATTGTAATAACTTAAGAAGTGTGAAATTGCCTCCAAATATCACTTCGATTAATAAACTTTGTTTTGGGTATTGTACGATGCTGTCTTTTATTGAAATACCAACAAGTGTCAAATCAATGGAAACTTCTTGTTTATATGGATGTTCGAATTTAAAAGATGTGAAAATTCCATCAAGTGTCATATCATATGATTATAAATGTTTCTATAATGGCACCCATTAAAAGTATAACCGTTTAATCAAGTGTTGTTTCATTTAAAAAATTGTTTTTTGTAAAACCATCTTTATTAAAAAAATAAGGAGGCTGAATAAAACCAATATTGGCCTATATACAAAACAATATTAACCAAAAACCAAAATCATTTTAATGTGTCATCATTGAAATTATTGATAAATTTAATCTTGTAAAGAAAAGGCTAGATTTGCAAATAGATTAAAGGTGAGTATAAAATATCGACTTCTAAACTGTAATTTTTCAAAGATAGAAAAACGATAAATAGTTTATAATTATTGATATAAATATTACAAATGTTTTCATTTTTACAGAAATACATAAACTATTCATTAAACCTTGTTAGTGTATCTTTTTAAACCCAAGTTCTCTTTCTCTTTCTTTAATTAATTTTCATACTTTTTATCGTTAAAAATTCCGCAGTTAAATTTATTACCTCTCAAACAATCTTATAATTAGTGTTGTGCACAAGTTTTTTGAATTAGAAACATCGAACATCTATAATAATTCGTTCCATGAGTGTATTTTTTTACTGTATTTTAAATGATATTAGCAAAATTTCATCTTATTAAAACAAATGTCATTTTTGGTTACAGTTTGATAATTATTTATATAAATTATCTAATATGTTTATATAAAAAATACTATAAATTATAGTTTGAGAAAATTAATAATAAATCAAAATATCGAACTTCTTTCATTTGATAAACTTTGAAGATATACAATGGAGAATCAAAGAGTAGATATACGCAACTATTTAAAATATATTGAAACCAGAAAGTTGTGGCATAGTGAATTTATCTCCAAAAATATTTTAGACACAAAGAGAAAAAGCCTTAAATAGCCAGAAACATCCAAGATGTCCTTATCAAGTGTTCGTGCCAGTGTTGGGTTTAAAAGGTGAAACCTCGTTCTTTCTTTCCATTTACCCAACCCTTTAAAAAGAAATATTTTGTAAAAATTTGGTGCTTCTTAATTTAAGTCGTAATGATGTTGTAAATTAAATAAATAACACTTTAATATTAACACTTTTTGAATGTTTGAAAGAAAATGAAAACAAAAAGTGACAAATAAGTCAGTTAAGTTGGAAAACAACAACACTTTTTGGTGTGAATATACGATTATCAGTCAACTCGTTTTTTTTGGCAGTGTAAGTGGATGGTTCGCAATAACTACCATTTTGGCCTTTCTTGCACACACCTATATCATATTGACCAAATTTAAAGAGATATGGATCATCTTGAGGATAAAGATAAATTTCATATTCGTTGTTATAATCTTTCATATTAAATTTTTTTGGTTTTAAAGTGTTATTTCTCACAAGTGAAAAAATGTAAGAACTGCCACTGTTCATAAATGATGCAACAGTTGTGATATATCCAGGAAACACACCACCAAACTTATTGTGATTTTTGTCTTCTATTAAAAAGCACAAATCGCTTTTGTTCATAATTTTTTCGTCAAACACAGACGTGTCTTTTGACCAGTCGTCATTGTCTGAGTCAAACACAACACTCCCAATCTTCATTTCTGTCAACTTTTCAAGACTGGCTTTTTCTTCAAGTGTAATGTGTTCACTTTTCATTCTTTCTTCTTTTTCATGTTTTCTTTTTGTAGTTATGAATTTTTCAGAATTTATTATTTCATCAACTTTATTCTTTTTAATCATCTTTATTTTGTTTATTTGGTCTGTATCTTCAAATGGTTTAATGTCCATTTGGCACTTTTCTTCATAAAGTGCAATTTTGATATTAAATATCTCATACAATTTCTCATTATCGCTTTTTGTTGAATACGTTGCAATCTCACTTTTGATTTTGTTTGATGCGTTATCCAAATCAGTGACAATTGAGCTGAGTAATGTTGTGATAGTTTTCTTTCTATCGAATATTTCATCAAGTCTGTCGAAGTGTCCATCTGCGTTTTCAATGCGTTGATCAATGTTAAGTGACTTATCGTCAACAAAGTTGTATTCCTGTTTTAATTTATTGAGATATGAAATCGCCTTTGCTGCGTTAGTGCAGAGTTCTGAGAGTGCTGTTAACTCGTTTTCCATTGTTTGTGAATGAAGTTTTTTTATTTGTTTATATATCTCATTTTAAATAAATTTAAATCAAAATGATTATTACCTTATTCGAAATGATTATTATTAACAATTAAAAATGATATTTAAAATATGTAAATACATTTAAAATGATTTTAATTATAAACCCGAGTATATAATATTATTTATTAGGCTCCAAACTGTAAATTTACATCAGTATATTTATTAATATAAAAAAGCAGTAGAAAACTAAAATTATTTTTGGTTGCGAAATAATTATTTCAAGTTT